CCCCTGGGAAGGGGTCCGAGAGACCTCGATTGTCGTGTTGCCAGAGCGATGTGTGTTTCAGATTCATGGGCATGCTTGAAGCTGTGGCAGGCTGGTGGCAGCATCGTTCTTTGACAGGACTGTCTGGGGCAGCTTCAGAGCACAGAACAATATTCTGGCACGTCGCAGTGCGATTTGGGCTCTAGGATGCCAATGCTCTAGGTTAATCAGGGCACACAAAGTTTGACATGGGCACAGTTCAGGGTCCAGCCCATTCGTTCGAAACAAGGGTGAAGTGCCCAGAGCATTCGCACCTCTAGGGCTTTAGGGAATGCTCCCGTCGACTCACTACATACTCCCATAGACAGGCACGCCTGCCAGGCTTGCTTGCTAGAGTTTTGAGTCTGTGTACGATGCTGCCTGCCGCCCTGGCCTTGTGACCGCACGTCGATGAGGGCCAGAAGTCCGGATGGTAAGTGCCCCAGAACGGCAACGTGCCGATCAGAGAAGGGACGACATGCATCCAACTCAGGTGTACACGCCGAGCAGTGCCTGAGAAGATGGGGATCTGTGGGGCTCTCAGAATCAGAAGTGTGGCACAAATCCGATCCGACACGAAGTCTGCAGCACCCTAAGGCCAAAGAGGCCATCCGCCACTGCAATCGGTGCCGCTGGCTGAAGCTCGGACACAAGTGGCAGCAGAAGCTCTTGTATGCGGATGTCGGCGGCAGTCAAGCGACGTGGTTGAAGGAAGGCTGCAGCGGTCCTTGGGGCTTGCAGTGCAAGGTTTGCCGAGCTGCTGCGGAGAACCCGGACCAGCACCACTCCCCCTACATCACCGGGCTCAAGGGGGCGAGACAGTCCGAGGTTCCTTGGAAGGCATTTGGGTCGGCATTTTGACCTGTTGCTCTAATGTTTCTTCGCCCAGGTTCCGGCCACCAAGCATGCAGATGTCTTGCAACTGGAGGATTTGAGGAGACACCAGCAATCTTCGCTTCATATCCTGTCTCTCGAGAAGTTGCAGGGAGGTGTGCCGCAGGATCCGCAGGATCCGCAGGCTCCGGCAGCTCGTGTCCCTCCTTCAGCGACAGCCCCGACACCAGCACAGGTTAGGCTAGCACTGGAAGTGCTGCAGCAGCCGAAGGGCGGCCAGAGTGTGGGCTATGCGGCCCGATGCAGCCTGGGGAACCGAAGCGACCCCATCGCTTTTCCTTTGGGGCGATCCGGCTCTACAGACCACGCCGTGATAATCAAGACCGTTGCCGATGTGCTTCGCGAAGAGGCCTCGCAAGCCTCGCACCGAGCTTCATAACAGTTTGCCGTGGCAGGATCGCAAGCTCGCCTCGAGATGCATTGCGGCCGGCTGGTCGGAGGACGGCAAATATAACTTACCTTCCACTTCTTAGTATTGCTCCACGCAGGATGTCCGGAAGGATACGATGGCCGTCCGGATACGGCTGGTTTCCGAAAACTACGAGGTGCCGACCTGTTGTAAGTTCCGACAAGTCAGGGCACAGCTAACCTTACAGGTCCACACCCGGACCCTGGAGTACTTTTGCATCCACGGAAAGAAGGCTGTCTCTCTCTCTCTCTCTCTCTCTCTCGCTATCCCTCTCTCTGGCAAGGCGGCACTGGACAAGGCCCAGCACGTGCAGGAGGTTTTGCGAAGATTTCTTCCGGAAGATGACAAAAGGGAAGACTTTGCCAAGCTGTTCCAGGCTGCCTCTGTCCTATTCAAATTCGCATTCTTCTGGGTTCTGCCAAGCCAGGTCTATACTTCCGACGGCGAAAAAGCCGAACAGCTCGCCGGCAAGTTCGTAGCGGTGGAGGGCTCGGTTTGATCGCTGGTTGATCAGTCGAAACTCACACCTCAACCGATGCCGAGGCTCGAGGCTATCTGCCCTCCCTCAAACATGTGAACCGGTGCCAGCTGCACTCGGCACAGCGATCGCTGGAGACCGCCGTCAAATCCGACATTCGCATAGCGGCCCTGCTTGAGAAGTTCGTCAATGGGGAGCAGGGCTTCGCTCGCAAGCTCAAGAACTCCTACAAGCTCCAAGGTAAGCTCTGGGAGAAGTTCGGAGCGGTGCAGAATGCCTTCTTCGCAGCACAACGTTTCGACACCATGAAGGATTGCTTGCAACGCCTCATCCTCAACCTGGAGGCTACGATCAGTGTCTTGATTGACGTGGCTGCCGTCGTCCACGACCAGGAGAGCAAAAAGTGGGCGAGCTGGGCCCAGTCTCTCCTCAATGTGCCTTGCCTGCAGCTTGACCCGCTCATACGTGCTCTGAGTTGCTCTGAAAATGGTGCAACCGGCTGAGGAGCTGTCGCCTTCGAATATTCGGCTGCTGGCTCTGCTGACCGAGTTCTTCACCGTAATGTCGGAATACGTCCACCGTTTCGACTCAGCAAAGGTGAAGACGTCAGAGCCACCGGTGACCAACGTCATCCGCACAGCTCAGGTGGTGCACGAGATGAAAGAGGCCCGTTCTGTTTGTTGCCGGTTTTATGTTGCAGGGAGCTTGGTCCTTTCGGCAGGAGTTCAAGCGAATGTTTCAGTTCTCCTCGGGACGACGGCCGCTGGTCATGGACCCTCGCTACACCAAGGGCTTCGTTCAGATCGCAGAGACCCAGATGAGAGCAGGCATCCTTTCATCGTTAGACTGACGTGTCAGTGGCTACTAAATGCAATGCAGGTGCTGATCGGGCCGTGATCGTCGATGGACGGCTGCTTTGGTCAATGGACCGTACCAGCCTCAAGCTCATCCTTCATCGCTCCCTAGCAACCCTATACTGCACGCTGAGGCTCCACCGGCGAGGATCTCTCCGTCGCTGCGGAGCTGGGGAGCATCCTGAACATTGGTCAGTTGTTCATGGATAGCATTGACTGCTGGCACGGCTCAGGGCTGGGCGAGTCGCTGTCGCCGTTCGACGTGTCGTTTTGGACGGAAGCAAAGGACCAACATTTGCAACTCGGCCTGGTGAGTCTTTCAACTTGCCAATATTTTGCATTCTCAAGTCTCAAGCCATGCATCCAGGAACAGCACCCTGCAGCCGCTCGCCGAGCTCTTGGAATTGAAGCTGCAGGACCTGGTCGATGAGTATATCATCGCCAGGCCCACGGCCCTTTATCATGCCAGGACCGTTGTCTCTTGTGTGGTCTTCTGCAGTTCGTTGTTGCCTGCGGTTGTTGCACTAGGAATTTGGAGCCTAACTTCTGGAGTCTGACGATGCAACGCTTGAAAAAGTTCAAGACCTTGGGCAAGGCTGCACGGCACTTGGAGCGAAGCCGGAACTTGGCTAAACTCCGACGCAGCTGATCCTGCCAAGGTGGCTTTCTTCCTGTCTGTCTTTGACAGCACCGGCGAGGTGGAGTCCGCCTTCTCCGTGTTGGCACGGTTCAATGCTTTGAATGAGGCGAACCAGAACAACTATATGAAAGTGTACACCGACAGCGGCCCGATTGACGACATCGTGCGGTTGGACAAGGACGGAAAGTACTGTCCCGGTGCACTTTGCCATCGGGTCCTGGAACGTTACAGGTTGGAGCACGGTGGCATGGCAAAGAACACCAAGAAGAATCCTTTGCCGAGGCTGCAACTGAAGTCGAGACTTCGCGACAAAGGCATGGCTGCTTTGAGGCGGAAGCGAAAGGATGAAAAACAAACAATCGCTGCTGCTGATGCTGCTGCGGCTCAGACAGACGCCGACCCAGAGCAGCAACAGCTGCGAGAGGCTGCATCGAGCTCCAAGGCGGCCCGAAAGACGGAGCAGCAAGTCAACCTGCTGAGGGCCGTCAAGAAGAAGGCTGCCGAGCGATTGTTCGAGTTCCGGCACGGGGCGGGGCACGAGATGGCCCCGAAGCTTGCTCTGCACGAGAAGGAAGCACTCGCGAGCAAAGAAGCGATCGCCCGGTTGGAACAGCGGTCTTTGGAGACTCAGACAGAGATGATGCCGGAAGTCGACGGCCTGGTTTACGTAGTTCTGGGTGAGGACCTTCGGGACACCACAAAGGTCAAGAAGATGCTCGCCCGCATGAACCACCTGCCCAGAGGACGCATCTACGGCAGGACTCATTTCTTGAACGAGGTCGTTGACAAATCCCTCTGGAAGAGTGGTGCTCGGCAGTTTGTCTGGTTGTGTGTGGACGACACAACTTTCCACGAGCTGCTTCATCCGGAAGGCCTTTTCTCGCAGCTGGCCGAGGACTCCGAGCCAGCGGAAGCCGCCCTCAAAAACGTGTCTCTGGCCCTTTGCAGCCGAGTGCTCGGCGGGTACGTCGCGACGAAGTCTTGGCTGGAGAAGGCGGCTGCGACCGGCGACCCAGTGAAGCCCGTGCTGCAGCTCGCGGCGGCCTTTTGTCAGCCCCACCAGATGTACTTGTCGAAGAAACTCAACGATAAGGTGAAGGAGCTCCTTGAGGCTCTACACTCCGGCCTCTCCACCCATGCTCCCGACCGCTTGCAGTGGCTCCTCCGGCAACAGAAGAACTTTCTGTTTCTCGATTGCAATTACGTGCGGTTTTGGCCAGAACTCTTGGCTTTCCCTTATTAGAAGAGCCGCGAACACGAATCGCAAAAAAAGTTTGCACTTTCACGAAAACCTCAACAGTTGTAGCTGGAAGGGTGGGGGGACCCCCCACCCCCAAAGCTACGCCGAACCAGTGGTCCGGTGTAGCTGGAGGAAACCCTAACCACCC